CCCAACAGTCACTTAAGTTATGTCTTCTGGGACTCCCCAAGAGGAGCAGTTTCCACAATGTTCCAGTCTCACTTCCAGCACGGCACTTAGCACACTGGAATTTATGTACCCTTCCACTAAACAGCTAAGCAGTACACACACCAGCGCCTATCCCTTTCTGTGTCCTCAGTACCCCAGCATGCCATGGGCACAGCTTTTGGCAAACAAATAACCTGTGAATGAACAGCTGAATGAGGAGATCGCCAGAACTGGAGTTGAGAGGTATAGAATGAAGGCTAATATTAGCCCATGGAGAGCCCTGAATGGGTAGTCAACAATTTAGTCAACTCCAACAGAAATCACTGAATTTGTTCACTTCTGAGATCTTTATGGGGATCCTCACCCTGGATATGATGGAGCTAAGTGAAAACAGGTTATTTACTCAGAGAAGGTGCCATGCACTACATTTGAGATTCTTATCCACCCATTCATGCACCATTAACTGAGTGCCTACCAAGTACAGCGCCCTAGGAGTACAAACAGGAACAAGACAATCTAGGCATGCTGGGCTACATGCCCAGCGTCAGGGGCAGCCCTTCCCCCTCCCCAATGTTCCTGGGTGAGTGAAGACAGCAGATGGCACCAAACCCCAGGACGCCCAGCTTGGTCATTGACTGCCCCAATTTCTCTCGGCCTAGTTGAGTTCAACAATTCAGCTAGGGGCTTGGTACAATCACAGGCAAAGCCACCCTGAACTCCCTGACAAACCTGACCCGGGACCTCTCCTTTGACTTAACCAGGCAAGTGGGCGGTTCCAACCCCTCAGTCAAAAGCCCCTGAATTCCACATCAGGAAAGCTACACCTTCAGCTCTAACTCCCTTCCACTTCGTAGCTGGGGCTGTGTCTTTAAACACAAACCAACTAAGGCGCAAACAAGATCTCCTCTTTCCAAGTCGGGTCCCAGGTGAATGCTGTAGCTCTGGCTTTGCTGCCCTAGCTCTCAAAGTGGCACAGGGCCCCTGCAATGTCCCGCTGGGACCCGGCAGCAGAGGCACAGCGGTGAGAGGCGAGAACTTAGACTTGAAAGCCCACAGGGAAGGACCGTAACCCGGGGGTAAGGTTGCTGTATAAGTCCCCACCCCGCCTCGGAGCTTTGGGGCTGCAGGAAGTAGGAGAAAGGGGCGGAGGGACCTGGTTGGCCTCGGCGGAGCCCACAGCCCTCTCTCCCGGATGAGGTGCCGTTTCCCCTTCGTCGAGGTAACAAGTTCAACAAGGCTCCCCTCCTGCCATGGCCCAGGCAGCCCCGAATGATACACTGTTGCCCGGGGATGCCCGCCGAGAGCTAATGCACTGTCAGTTCTGCCGGCTGGAGTGGCCCGAGGGGCACCCGAGCCAGGCCGCTGAGTGCGCGCCCCGTAAAGGTAAACTATCCTTTTCCCCCTGGCCACCTCCGCCCTGGTCCCAGGCGCATACTCACCGGCCACCTCGAGTCCGGGTTCATCGCCGGGGGCGCCCGCCGGGGCTCCGACCCCACTTGGGGAGGCCGGCGGGGAAAGACGGGCCGGGAAGGGGGAGCCCCAACTCCGGAGACAGTAGAGCTCGCCACCCCGGCCCCCTGCCGCCCCACGCTCCGGCCCCGGCTCCCCGGGATTCCCGCGCTGACCCCCGCCGTTCCCGGTCCCGCCGGCGCCCCAGTGTCTCAACTCCGTCGGTCGCCGCCCGTTTCGCGAGCCTCTAGATTGCCTAGCCTCGGGACCCGGCGCCGCCGAAACAATGGAGGATCCTGGAGGCAGCGCGGGGACAGCGGCGGCGGAGACCGTGGCGGCAAAGGCAGTGGCAGCGGCGGCGGCGGCGGCAGCAGCGGCGGCGACGGCGTCTGCGCAGGTAAACGCGGCGCCGCGGCGCTGCCGAGCTGCGCTTTCGCCACGGATCTCCGCCTGCCCTCTGGGGTGCAAGAGGCCATGCTCTGGGGCTTGGAAAGGCCCCGGACACCCCACAGGGCTCGGCTAGCACCTCCACCTTAGAGTTGAGTTTCTGGAGGCTGAAGTCGCAGTGCTTGGGATCGGGGGTCGTCAGGCCGTTTGTGGCGAATCTGCTGCCGCGGACGGTGAGCGCGGGGCTGGGCCTAAGGAGCCCGCCCTTCTCCCCTCCCCCTCCGCCTCCTCCCTCCCCGCCCGCCCTCCCGCTGGCGCGGCGGCTGCGGTAGGGACCTGGCCTTGGTCTCCGAGGAAGGCGGCGAGGCGGGGCGGGAGCGCGGGGCGGGGCTGGGGGCAGGGCCGGAGCCAGAGGGACGCGGGCTGGAGCCTAAGGGGGCCGGGAGTTGTGGATCGGGGCGGGCGGGGTGGAAGAATAGACCGTCCTGTGGGGCGGGGCTTGAGGGGAGGGGGCGGGGCTATGTGCAAAGCGGGGCCCAGTCAGGAGAATAGGGGCAGGAGGACGGCGGGGTAAATAGTGGGGCTCAACAGAAGAGTGGGCCTGAGGAAAGAAAGGGCGGAGCTTTGGATGGGTCTGGAAGGTGGAGCTGGACTGGGGATAAAGGATGGAACTGGGAAAAAAAATGATGCTGAAGGGAAAGGGCGGGGCTTGGGAAGGGCAAAGGGGCGGGGCTGGAGGGAAAGGGGGGACGGAATAAGGTAACGGGGCGGGAGTGAAGGAAAGGGAACGAGCTTGGAAAAGGTAAAAGAGAGGGACTGGAGGAAAGATGTGATTCTGAGGGGAGTCGCATTTGGGGAAGTGCAGGGTGCTGGTGGGTGCGAAAGTGGTGGGATCCAGGGGCTGGGAAACTGATGGGTTGGCAGGGATTTGCAGCATAGTTGCAGGTTGTTTGGAAGATCTTTGGAAGAGCTGCTGGGAAATGGAGTGCTTGCCTGGTATGCATGAGGACTTTGGTTTGATTCCTCACCGTTGCCCAAAATAAATAACAGCTGACTTAATGTGACTGTGCTACTTCCTAGCTATGTGAACGTGGGCAAGTTGTTAAATTCTTCCTCATCTTCCATATAATTGTAAAACGGAACTCGAAAACTGTTGTCAGTTCTTGGGGGTTTTAGAGAACTTGGATGCCAGAAGACATCCTTGTTAAACAGGGTTTCAGTAGTTTTGTTATCTAGGAGGATGAAAGGGTCTTCTAAGATTCTGGAGCATATGACAACTTCTGTTTTATCACAATGCAAACTTTGCATTCAACTCCCCAAAATGCACTTGGGAGGTGTACTGGGGATTGAGCCTAACTTTACCAGTAGATACATCCTTAGCCTTTATTTTTTTATTATTTTATTTATTTATTTATTTTAGATAGAGTCTTGCCAAGTTGCTGAGGCTGGCCTCAACCTTGCAATCCTCCTGCTAATCCTCCTTCAGACTTACTGTGATTACAGGCATGGGCCACCTAGCACAGCTTGCGTATATTTTCACTTTTAAGGTTTTCCATAAAACATCACAGTAAAATTGAAATTTCAGAAAGATGTTGGCTAGCTAAGATTTTGGGGTCTGAACTCCTGATGAATTACTGTACAGAAGTGACTTATGGGGCTGGGGTTGTGGCCCAGTGATAGAGCGCTTGCCTAGCATTTATGAGGTACTGACTGGGTTTGATTCTCAGCACTGCATGCAATTAAATAAATAAAAGGTCCATCAACAACTAAAAAAAATTTAAAAAAAGAAGTGACTTATCCTCAGTGCCAGTTTCCTCATGTATAAAATGGGGATAATATTTAGCACCTCTTTCTCTCTCAGGGTTATCCCAAGAATTAAAAGAGGTGATGCTGGGCCTGGGGTTGTGGCTCAGTGATAGAGCACTTGCCTAGTATGTGTGGGGCACTGGGTTCAATCCTCAGCACCACACAAAAATAAATAAATAAAGATATTGTGTTCATCTACAACAAAAAAAAATTTTTAAGAAAGAGGTGATGCTTATTAATTACCTAGCATAGTATCCAATATGCAGTGAATGTGCAAAGAAAATATTAGCTATTATATTAGTTCAAAAATTTCAGAATATGGGGCTGGGGTACTGGCTCAGTGGTAGAGTGCTTACCTAGCATGTGTGAGGAACTGGGTTCGGTTCTCAGCACTGCATATAAATAAATGAATAAAATAAAGGTCCACTGACATCTAATTTTTTTTTTTTTAATTTCAGAATAGTGGGCTGGGGTTGTGGCTCAGAGATAGAGTGCTTGCCTAGCATGCATGAGGCACTGGATTCCATCCTCAGCACCACATAAAAATAAAAAATAAAGACATATAACTAAACCAACTACAACTAAAAAATAAAATATAAAAATAAATAAATAAATTTCAGAATAGTGGTGCATGCCTATAATCTAGTGACTTGGGGGGCTGAGTCTGGAAGACAACGTTAAAGCCAGCCTCAGCAATTTAGGGAGGCCTTAGGCAACTTTAGCAAGATTCTGTCTCAAAAAAAAAATTTTTTTTCAAAATAAATGGATCAAAGTAGAGTGATACAGAATCATCTTAAATCCAACCACTTTGGAGGTCAGAAACCTCCAAAAGATATGCGCCTTTCTCTGCTTATTTCTTTTCTCTTTTTTGAGCAGTAGAGGGGATTGAACCCAGGATCTTGCATCTTACACATGCTTAGGCAAGTATTTTACCACTTGTTTGCTTCTTCTTCTTTTTTTTCTTTTTTTTTTTTTTTTTTGGTACTGGAGATTGAACCCCGGGGCACTTAACCACTGAGCCATATCCCCAGCCTTTTTTATTTTTTAAAAAAAGTCTTCCTAAGTTGCTCAGGGCCTTGCTAAGTTGCTGAGGCTGGTTGTGAACTCACAATCTTCCTCCTCAGCCTGCAGAGCTGCTGGGATTATAGGCATGTACCACTTGACCCAGCATTTGCTTATTTCATAAAGTGTTGAAAAATCCAAGTGATTGGAAGAATGTGTGTTAGTATGGGGATTAACCCAGCTGAAGATGTCCTTGATCCCTCCCTCTTGGGGGTGACCCCAGATCTGGAGTCCTCTAGTCTTGCTCTCCAAGACCCATGAGACTGAAGTAGAGTAAAGATCATATTTATTACTGGCAGAAGTCAGGCAGGTGGTGATAGTGCCAGGCCCTTCTTCAGTTGAAGGGGTGAAGGGCTCTTCCACCAGCGCTGATTCACTTAGTTGGCAGTCCCAAGGAAGTCCAGGGCTCCAAGGCTCCAGGTGCCTCTGGCTTTCCGCAGTAGGTGACAGGCAAGCAGACTGCTAGACATTGGATATGTGGACTCCTCAGGGCTGTTCTGGAGCTGGGGTCGGGCTGGAGTTAGCAGGGGGTGGGGGTCGAGGCTGGATGTCCCTGGTACGCATATAGGACAGCAGCTGCTCCGGGATCTCAGCCAGTACATCCTTGGCCAGTCTGGCCATACTCAGTACCTGGTTGCCCGATCGGTCAACATAGTCTCGGAATGGGACAAACTGGGATAGGCACAGACAGGAAGGTGTGGGCCATGACCAGGGAAGAGGTAGTAAGGAGGTGTCATCTCTAATCTCCAGCATCTTTTTCCCCTGATCTTGGACAGATGTCTACATTCATTTTCTCCTCATCCTCTTTTTGTTTTATTTTGTTTTGTTTTCTGTACTGAGGGTTAAACCCAGAGACTTGTACATGCCAGACACATGCTATACCGCTGCGCTGCGTCCCCAGCCCTCCACCACTTTCCTTCACCTTCTATTTGTTCTCAATCCATTCCAGTCTTGCTTCCCACAGTCCACTGAAACTGCTCTTGCTAATATCACTGGAGCCCCATGTTGCCAAATCAGTCCAGGCAGAAACAATTTTCAGGCCATGTCTTGCCATACATTTCTTTGCCTTTCTGTTACATTTGGATATCATCCTCCTGGACACATCCCACTCCCGAGGAGGCCCAGAGAAGGGAGTTGGAGCAAGAGGGAAGCAGATATCTCAAACTCAGTGTGTTCCTAACTGAATTCTAGCTGTTTCTGCCAAATAAAGGCTAATAAAGGGAGGGAGAAGTGAAAAAGAAGAAAAAAACTATTCCCTGATGAGTCAATCCAAGATGTTTTTTTTTTAGAAACATAGACCCACCCCGTCTAATTTTAAAATTACTTTAAAAATTTTTTTTTTTTTTGAGACGGGGTCTCACCAAGTTGCCTAGGCTGGCCTCAAACTTGTGAGCCTCCTGCCTCAACCTGCCTTGTAGCTGGGGGTAGCTGGGATTATAGGTGTGGGCCACAGCACTCAGTCACAGCCTCTTTTTAAAGGTCCAGAGACAAATATTTAGTTGCCCACACCACCTCTCTATTCAGTTGTCACAGATACCTCAAACTCAAGTGTGTTCCCAACTGAATTCTAGCTCTTTCTGCCAAATCTCCTCCTCCAGCTTTCCCGTTCCCAGTCAATGAGACCATTACTCAGTTGTTGGTGAGGAGAAGACTGAGAGTCGTCTTTGAAGTTACCCTCACTCTTTGTCACTATCTAATCAAATCATCAAATCTGGTGACATTTTCTTAGATATTTTTTGAACCTGCTACTTCTCTCCATCCCCACTGCTTCCGCCCTCATTCAGATCTTTACCATCTCTGCCACTTCCAAGGCTTTCTCACTAATCAGTCTACCTGCCTTCTCTAACCCTGCCATAGTCCACCCTCCACCAGCAACCAGAGGAATCCTTTTAAAGTGCAGATAAGACTATCTCACTCCCTTATGTGAAATCCTTCAAAAGCTTTAGAACAAAGCCCCAGATCTTCACTGTAAAGGCCAAGGCCCCTTCTTATCACTTAGTGTGATCCTGCCACCCTGCTCTGAACCCCCAGGCCTAAGGACATGCTGCTTCCCTGTCTGTAAGCTTATACCTTCCTTGAGGACTCAGCTCAAGTGTCATTTCCTCACAGAAGCCTTCCCCAACTACTGTCAGATCCCCTGCTATTGGCTGTCACATGGCATTTGCTATTTTCTGAGCACTTATCACAATCTCATCAGATATTTAGCTATGTAGTTATTACCAGCTGCCTCCACTAGAGGGCAGGTACCTTGGGGATCTCCTGCACCAGGGATCCACCAAGGTGACAGCAACCTTCCAGCTTCTGGAAAGAATGTGTTCAGAGGAGCTGTGTTACATGCCAGTAATCCCAGCAACTCAGGAAGCTGCGGCAGGATCAAGGCCAGCCTCAGCCTCAGCAATTTACTGAGACACTCAGCAACTTAGGAAGATCTTGTCTCAAAAAAAAAAAAAAAAAAAAAAAAGGCTGGGGATGTACTCCAGGGGTATTATGCCCCTGGGTTCAATCCCCAGTTCCAAAAAAAAAAAAAAAAGTTCAATGAATGAGAAAGGAAGGTGATTAAGAAAGCGGTAACTTCCTAAACTTCCTGCTTAGCCTTTCCTTCCCACTGTGCCTGTCAGCTCTACCATCTCTCCATGGTTACCTGGACAATGTCCCGCTCTGCATAGCGTCCCCTGGAGGACACACGCACATCATCGCCATCCAACTCTTCCATTGCTGCAGAAACAATACTGTAAGCTGATTGGCCTCTTCAACCCCACCCCTTCAAAATCATCATGCGAAAGTCCTACAAATATTAGACGCTATTTGGAGTTGTTATTTTTAAAATTTTTTTCTTTTTTTTTCAGTTATTGATAGACCTTTTATCCATTTATATGTGGTGCAAAGAATCGAACTCAGTGCCTCATGCATGCGAGGTAAGCGCTCCACCACTGAACTACAATCTCAGCCCTAGAGTTATTATTATTATTATTAAAAAAATTTTTTAAGTTGCCAATGGACCTTTATTTTTTATTTATTTGTTTATATATGGTTCTGAGAATCAAATCCAGTGCCTCACACATGCTAGGCAGGCACTCTACCATTGAGCTACAACCCCAGCCCTATTACTACTACTACTACTCCTGCTACCACTACTACAGCTATTACTGTGCCTTCCCACACATCCAATCCTCCCCAGAGCAGCAGGGGAAAAATATTGGTATTGGCATCTCCAAACTCAGTTATGAAGAGAAAATGAAGTTGAGCAGGTTTGTGACTCAACCAAGGTCTCACCAGGTCATTCACCCTGTCTTGTGAATCAGGTCAGTGCCTAGACCCATCCCATCACCCCAGTTCTTAGTCCCACTAATGGACAACCCCCGTCTTACCCTCAAACATGGCTGGTCCCACACCCACAATAATGATAGACATGGGCAGCGAGGAGGCCTGTAGGGAGAGAGGGGAATTGTTGGAGTGAGCAGCCATAATAAGGGAGGTGACTGTTGGGAGATAATTCTCCCCATACATCTTATGAGTAGAGGCTCTGATTCTCTTTGTTCCAGACTATTTTTTTTTAATTTTTTTTAAATATTTATTTTTTAGTTTTCGGCAGACACATCTTTGTTTGTATGTGGTGCTGAGGATCGAACCCGGGCCGCACTCATGCCAGACGAGCGCACTACCGCTTGAGCCACATCCCCAGCCCTGTTCCAGACTATTTTTGAAGGATGTGTATATGTCAAGTGGCCCTGAAAGATACACTGTCTCTTCTATCCAGTATAATTTGAAAAAGGTCTCCCACTGGAACACAGGGCAGCATGCCTCCTGCCCATTATAAAAGATTCATGTTCCCTAAATTCTAATAATGCAACCTGCAGTGATTCCAAGTATCATCTGGCCATCTTCACATCATCCTACTGGAACTGGGACTTAGAGAATCAGCATGAAGGCTGTTACTCCAGCTACTGCTTTTGCTGGGAATAACAAAGTTTCATGGATGCTGTATCTTCTGCCAGCATCCATGAAACTGACAGGTATAACTTGTTTTATTACAAGGAGGATAGAAATCTCAACTCCATCACAGTGTTGGCAGTGACCCCTCCCTGCCAAGCCTTCCTCCAGACTCACGCTGACGATGGCCTCTTTGGTCTGTGTCATGTCAGAGATGACCCCATCAGTGATGATGAGCAGAACATAGTACTGGGAACCATCAGAGATCTTGGCTGCAGCCCTGCATGAGAGACCAAGATCAGAATTCAGCTGAAAGTCAGAGAGGCCAAGGGGACACTCCAGCCCCATAGTTTCCACAGCCAAAGTGTGAACAGTGGGCAAGAATAGGGGCTTTTGAAGCCTGTGTTCTTTTCCCTGACCTGGCTGCCTGCCCCTGACTGACACTTCCCCATTAATATTTACTAAGCACTTACTATGGCAGGAAATATAGAAACATAAGAAGGGAAAGAGCAAATCCTCCTGTCAGCCCACTGGAGAGAACAGACAGACATTGATCCAGAGACTACACAAAGAGGTGTAAAATCACCATTGTGACTGGGCTCAGTGGCACATGCTTATAATCCTAGCAACTCAGGAGGCTGTGGCAGGAGGATCACAGGCTTAAGCCTCAGTAACTTAGCAAGGTCCTGAGGAACTTAGCAAGACCTGGTCTCAAAATAAAAAAAATAAAAGGAGGTGGGGATGTAGCTCAATGGTAAAGCACCTCTGGGTTCAATCCCTAGTACCAAAAAAATAAAATAAAAATCACCACTGTGATGAGCGCTTTGATGATGGGGATGCTGCTCAGACAGTACATAGCAGGGGATCCTGACAGGGTCCAGGAGGCCAGCAAAGGCTTCTTTAAGGCAGTGATGTTTAAAGATGGAGGTGAGGACTGGGGTGGATCCCTTGCCTAGCACTTGTGAGGCACTGGGTTCTATCCTCAGCACCACATAAAAAATAAATAAATAAAGATACTGTGTCCATATACAACCAAACAAAATATTTTAAAAAATAGATGGAGGTGAGGCTAAGTGAAGGGTGGGACCATTCCAGGCAGAAAGAGCACAGCATGGACCAGCAGCTCTGTGGTGGGACTGCAGGAAGTTCACCCTGTCTGAAGGACAGGAAATTAGGGTGACAGAGTAGACTGTGTGGCTGTGGGGACCTAGGGGTCAGACCACATATCACACCAGGCTTCATCAACCTCTGGGAAGATTTATTTTTTTCTTTTTTGGAGAACTGAGGATGGAACCCAGGGTCTCATGCATGCTAGGTAAGCTCTCCGCCATTGAGCGAAACCTCCTGCCCTATTTTAATTAATTTTTTTAAACATTGAGACAAGGTCTTGCTAAGTTGGAAAAGATGACATTAAACTTAAAGTTTTCCTGTCTCAGTTTCTTGAGCAGCTAGGATTATAGTCCTGAGCCATGACATGTGGATCTCTGGGAAGATTTTGATATTCATATAAGACCAGGAGTGAAGGCTGAAAGCTTCTCTTTCGCTCTCTCTCCTCCTCCCCTGCTGACTCCATCCATTCCCTATAGTCTGACAGCTGTTTGGAATGCTCCTTTTCCTTCTCTCACACATCATCTTTGAATTCAGGAGTTTTCCATCTGAAGAGGATTTCAGAAAGCATGAGTCCAGTCCCCTTATTTTACATATAAGAAAAAAAGGAGGGGCTGGGGATGTGGCTCAAGTGGTATCGCGCTCGCCTAGCATGCAAGAGGCACTGGGTTCGATTCTCAGCACCACATAAAAATAAATAAAGATATTGTGTCCATCTAAAACTAAAAAATAAATATAAAAGAAAAAAAGGAGACTGAGATTGAGGGAAAGCACACCCTGGCCTCTCGACTTCCTGTCTTGGATTAGAAAGGATAGATCTGTGCCATTTAGATCAATGAAGTTATCTGGATGCAGTGGCCCACACCTGTAACCCCAATGATTGGGGTGGCTGAGGCAGGAGGATTGCAGGTTCCAGGCCAGTCTCAACCACTTAGGGAGATCCTGTCTCAAAATACAAAATTAAAAGGACTGAGGATGTAGCTCAGTGGTAAAGTGTCCCCTGGGTTCAGTCCCTAGTACCCAAAATAAGGAATTAACTAATTGCAAATTAATTCATTAATGAAATTAAATAGGATTCATAACTCAGTTTCTTGGTCACCCTAGCCATTCAAGTGTTCAATATCCATATGTGACTGGTGACTACCATATAAGATAGCATGGCTATAGACCGTTTTCATCACAGCTAAAGTTCTTTTGGGCCTCATCTCAAGAAGTCAGGACAGGCATGACAAGCAGAGTGCAGAATTACATAGCTCCAGCTCAGTTTGTCCAAGTCCCCAGGTGGACACTTGCACCACTGAGATGAACTGAAGTTAGGGCTTGGAGGATGTGTCAGGTGACCTAGGACTTCAAAAATGAATAGGGTGATGGCAGGGAGGGAAAAGTGTTCCAGAAAGAAAGGATGTCAAGTGCAAAGACACAGCATATTCTAGGAGTACATGAAGAACCACAGAGGAGTGATGAAGCTGGCACCTAGGACAAGGGTCCTCTCATGAAGGGATCTGTTTGTTTTTGTGGCCTGGAGATAAAACCCAGGGCCTATAATCCCAGTGACTTGGGAGATTGAGGCAGAAGGATCTCAAGTTCAGGCCAAACTTAGCAATTCTCTATTTCAAAATCAAATTTTAAGAGGGCTGTGGGTGCTGGAGTTGTAGCTCAGTGGTAGAGTGCTTACCAAGCATGTATGAGGCAATGGGTTCCATCTTCAGCACCACATGAAAGTAAATAAATAAAATAAAGGTATTGTGTCCATCTACAACTAAACAAAATATATTAAAAAAATAGAGTGCTCCTGGATTAAATTCCCAGTACATAAAAAGGGTGTCCACCTTGCAGACTGGCAGTAAAGATTAATTTATTATTTTTCTATGGTACTGGAGGTTAAATCCAGGAGCGCTCTACCACTTTGCTATATTCTCAGCCCTTATTGTTTTAAATTTTAAAAATTTTGAGGCAGGGTCTTGCTAAATTGCTGAAGCTGGCCTTGAACTTGCCATTTTCCTGCCTCAGCCTCAGCCTCCCAAGCCACTGGGATTACAAACATGTGCTTCCATGCTGGCTCTTATTTCTCATTTTAGATTTATTTATTTATTTTTGAACTAGGGATAGAACCCAGGACCTCATCCATGCTAGGCAGGCATTCTACCACTGAGCTATATCCCCAGCCCTTATTCCTATTTTTATTTTATTTTATTTACTATTACTATTTTTTGGTGGCGGGAATTGAACCTAGGGGCACTATACCACTGAGCCACATCCCCAGCCCTTTTCATTTTATATTTTGAGACAGGGTCTTACTAAGTTGTTTAGGTCCTTGCCAAGTTACTGAGGCTACCCTTGAATTTGTGATCCTCCTGCCTCAGTCTCCCAAATCACTGGGATTACAAATTTGAGCCACTGCTTCCACCTTTATTCCTATTTTTAAAATGAGAAAACTATATTCAGCAATATTAAGTAGCATCCCCAATGGGTGATGAAGCTGAAGTCCAAGCCTATTCTTGACCAACTGAACTAGAGCCCGACCTCTGGATGCCATCACTCTCCATTTCTGGCTTACTCCCTGGAGGGTGGGAGATCCACTCTACAGTCAGATCAGCGCTCCCTGATGTGCCCCTGTGCTTCTCAACTGGCATTCCTTCCACCAGGACTACCTGCTCCTCTTCTCTCGTAATGTTCGGCTCTCCCTCTAGACTCAGCTGAGCAGTCCCCTCTGTTCCTCCTCCTGTTCCTCTCTCCTCTAGGGTACAGCCACAGCCACCAAGATTGACTGCCTGCTCCTCTAAGAGGGTTCCCGAACCCCAGAGGGCACCAAGGAGCTCCTCCATCCTGCTTGGTTTGGTGGATAAAGCTAGATAACTAGAAGTGAACTTAAAACACCTTTAAAAGAAATTACAGCTAACATGCAATGTGAGAAGAACAGCAAATTTGCATGCATTTTTAAAATTAAACACAGAGACTTCAAAGAGATTCTCAGCCTGGCTGCTTTGGGTTGTGGCCCCAGATTTTCCCAGGGGGATATAGTCTCTTGCCTTTGCTGACAGGTGACTTGCTAGAAAAGTCTGGGAAGCTCTGGCCTACAGAAGGTAATGATTTATTTATATTTCTATCTCCTGCAACAAGGCAGGGACTCCCAAGGGCAGGGACTAGGTCTGATTCATCTATGAATCTCCAGTGCCTCAGCAGAGAGCTGAGCACCCTGCAGGTGGCCTCTGCATAGTAATAATGATAATAATAGCAACAGCAACAGCTGACATTTACAGTACTTATGATGTGACAGGTACTGTTCAAGGTGTTTGACATGTATGTGTTAATCAGTCCTCAAGTAGCCCTGCCATGAAGATATTATTATTCTCATTTTGAGGAGATAGGCACAGAGAGATTAGGTATTGAACCCACAGGTGCTCTATCACTGAGCCACATCTCCAGCCCTTTTTATTTTATTTTGAGACAGGATCTTGCTAAATTGCTGAGCCTAGCCTTAAACTTGCAATCCTCTTGAGTCACTGGGATTACAGGCATGTGCCATTGCACTTGTCTGCTCTGTATATTTTTATCCTGAAAACTTGGAGAGTTTTAAATGTACCATTAACTAAGCACTTACTATGGGCTAGACCACCTCTTACATGGTTATCTAATTATTTTTTAAAAAGTTGTTTTTGTAATTGTAGATGGACAGAATTTGGTTATTTTTATGTGGTGCTAAGGACTGAACCCAGGGCCTCACACATACTAGGTAAGCACTCTGCCACCCAGCTACAGCCCCAACCTTAATGATTTTGTTGTTGTTGTTATTACCTAACCTCTCAATAACCTATACTGCTTAGCATGGTGGTGCACGCCTATAATCACAGCTACTCGGGAGGCTGAAGCAGGAGGATTACAAGTTCAAGGCCAGCTTTGGCAACTACATAGCAAGACTGTGTCTCAAAATAAAAAATAAAAAGGAGGCTGAGGCAGGAGGATCGTGAGTTCAAAGCCAGCCCCAGCAAAAGTGAGGCCCTAAGCAACTCAGTGAGACCCTGTCTCTAAATAAAATACAAAATAGGGCTGGGGATGTGGCTCAGTGGTCGAGTGCCCCTGGGTTCAATCCCTGATACTGCCCCCACCAAAAAAAAGAAAAGAAAAGAAAAAAAGGGCTCAGTGGTATAGTGCCCCTTGGTTCATTCCCTAATATCAAAAAGAAAGAAGCCACTACTGAGATCCATTATAACACCACTTCATAGAAATGAAATGGGAGCTGAAGAAAAAAAGTGGGGTGGGGTGGAGAAAGGGAGGAAGGAAGGAAGAAAGAAAGGGAGGTACTTAAAAAGGCTAAGCTGCTTATGCTCCTGTGGTTAGTGAGAGGTGGAGCAAGGATCTCACACCAGTGCGTCCACCAGGGTAGGCAGAGTCTCCTTCCTTACGTAAAGTCAAGACCGACTCAAGGTCGGGGTCCTCATTCCCACAGACAAAGTTGGAGTAAGTTTATTGACACCTTCTCTATCCCACAATAAGTTATTAAGTAACCTTATTGTCCCAAGGCCTGTCCCTACACTGAAACTTTCTCCTAATCTGTAAAACCCAGTTCACCTTAGAGTGAACTTGGGGAGGCAGTCCCCCGTCTGGGCCCCATCGCTGACCCTAGCCCCCGCCAGTTCCCTTACCTGGCCACCTGATTGATGACAGGAGCAAAGTAGGTGGGCCCATAGAGCTGCACAGTGCGCAGGCTCTGGAAATAGCTCTCCAGCACGCCCTCGATGCCCGCACAGTTGGGGTCCTCATCATTGTTATTCTGCCAAAGAAGATGTCCTGCCAAACTGAGCCCAACCAGGGTACACCCAGGAGTGCTCTGATCCCAGCTTACCCCTTCCTTTTGCCACCAGTTCCTTTCATGCACCCCTCCAAACCCAGCCCTGCCCTCCCTCCCTGCTCTGCCACCCTCTCACAGCTCCCTGCTCCTCTGAAGTCCCTCACCCTTCAAAGAAATGTACATAGAAGAAATTTGTCAACTTGTGTGGGCCAGACACCAGGGCATGCGGTGTAGTCTGTGACCCATACCATACCAGGGGGAACTGGTGAGAGATCCGTCCCTCTGGGGGCAGCTTGGCCCCAAAGCCATAGGCTGGGAAGAGCTTGTCACTGTCATAGTCCTGGATGATCTCTCCCACTGCCTTGAGGGCCATGGCATAGGCGCTGAGCTGGTAGGGACTCATGTAGTGCAGGGAGGTAGGCTGCAGGGGATTCCCTGTAGGGACACAGGAGCCCCAGCCTCATGGTCACCTGGATCATTCACCTGTTCACCTGCTTATCCTTGTATGTATCCATCCATCTATCCATTTATCCACCCTCTACCCCGTACTCCCTCATTATTATTATTAGATATCAGAGATTTAACCCACTGAGCCACATCCCCAGCCCTTTTTATTTTTTTATTTCAAGACAGGGTCTTGCTGAGTTGTTTAGGACCTTGCTAAATTGTTGAGGCTAGTCTTGAACTTGTAATCCTCCTGCCTCGGCCTCTAGAATCCACTGGAATTACAGGCCTGCACCACCTTGCCCAACTGAGTGGGTAAATTCCTATCCTCAGGTTGGAAGCGAGCCCAATCCCTCAGGACTCCCCTAAAATCCTCCCATCCCTCTTTCCCCCATCCATGCCTCACCATTGGAAGCCGTGAAGTCAATAGCCACCGTGAAGTTGAGCTGGGTCCTGTTGCGGAAGTTCAGGGATAGAGTAGTGAGGGACTAACAGCTATGACACTAGCAATTCTGAGACGTTATTATACATACACCTCACCTGTGGCTCGTGTTCAATGCAGATACTGACCAGGCAGTCTGGGTGGAGGTGACAAACTCCCTAGGCATGCTATTAGTGCAACTATGGACCCCACTTTGGGTAGAAGAATTGAATGCTTTTCTTCCTTTCCCATCGTACCTCATATTATTTTATCCAGCCACTTATCACTTATCTAGCCCCTTGTCATTTATCTGTGACAAGTGTAGTACATGTAATCTAATTTAACCCTTACTATAGCCCCAAAGTAGTGATTAAACTTTCCATTTTACATAGGAGGAGAGAGAGGTTCAGAGAAGCAAAGTACATTTCCAGGTCTGCCTAGTTCCTCTGAGTGGAGCAAAATGTCCCCTGTAGTCTATGTAGTTTTTCCCTCTCTTGAACCTCTGCTTCTTCTCTAGCCATCATTCCCTGCTCCCCATTCCCCCTCCAGGTGCTGGGGATTAAAACCAGAGCCTTGTGCATGCCAAACACATGCTCCATCCTGAATCCCTAGCCATAACTTTTATAGAAAGGCATTTGGTTACTGGGGCCACCAGTGGTGAGCCTTAATCTGGCAGCCATCCATAGGGGGCGTGGGAAATAAGGACAAAAGACAACCCTATGAAGAGAAGTCAGAGGGACCACACTTTGCACTTTACTTAACAGTCAAGTTAGCATGCTGAGTAGTTTACAGTCACATTGGGCCCTGACCATTTAAAGATAGGAAAACCCACTACGGGGCTTTCAGCCTACAGCTGGTCTATGACTCACCCTCCCTTGATGTAATCGACAAAAGTGAATTCAGAGTCCACAGAGAAGGAGAGCAGCGTCACCTGTGGGATAGAAGACGCGGCTCTGCCACTCTGGAAAGGGCAGTTGGGGCAGCAGAAGGGAGAGAAGCTTCATAAAGCTTTGGAGAGAGGTTCCTGCTGGGAGGCACATGATTCTACTCCTGCCCCCACCCTGTCCCCCATCTTCCCCCACTTTTTTTTTGGTACTGAGGACTGAACACTGAGTATATTTCTAGTCCATTTCATTTTTATTTTGAGACAGAGTTTCACTAAGTTGCAAGGTTCCCACTCAGTTGCCCAGGCTGGCTTTGAACTTGGGATCCTCCTGCCTCAGTCTCCCTGGTTGCTGGGAATACAGGTGTGCCCTACCACATCCAGCTTATCTCCCACCCCCTTCTGTAAGAAAAAAAAGGGAAAGCTGTCAGAAATATGTTTGGATTTCCAAAAATATATTGAATTTGGAAACTTAATTTAAGGTGTTTTTTTAATTTACTTTGCAAAAGTATAAAAATTGAAAAAATTTTCCTGGATGAGAGAAAAAAACAAACTTAAGTGGAGCCACCTTGTACCCACCATTACTATATCCAAGTGATCTGTTCCCACTGCCTCCCCCTGCTCCTAACGTTTGTCACTGGGACAGAGACAGAAGGACCCGAGGGGGGCTGAAACTCTAGGGAGCACTCACTGTTCCCGAGTTGACATATTTCTTCTTCTTACATTTTTTCCGAGGGTTGAGTACCTAGGTGGAGGAAAGTAAGAGTGACAGTGGAAATGGGCATGGAGGGAGCTCTAGGCCGAGCACACCGGGGCAGAGGCCCAGGTCACCCTGCACAGCCTGATTCTCACCTCATATACCGTGAACTGGTTCTGGGCCTTGCTCAGCTCCCGGTAGCTCGTGGTGAACTCACCAATGAAATCATGGCTGTAAAGAGGCCAGAGGTGGGTCAGCAGCCACTGCGCTGGTCTGAAGCCAGGCCTGAACTCTGCCAGTTATTCCCCCTATTCTAAGTTCCTACTTGGACAGCAAGGCTGTAGGGGTAGGGCCAGGCGGGGAAGAAAAAGGAGGAGACAGCACCAGAGAGACAACTGAGGGGTCAGCTGTACCAAGACCCTGGCATCTATTCATCACCCTTCCTGGCTCCCAAGGCTGCTTTGGGGTTCCTGGCAAATGTACCACATATAATTAGGGAACTGCTCTGATTAAGTACAGGAGCAAGGGACACATGGAGCTGTCCTACCTTCCATCTCGGTCCCAATCATACACATCAATCTTCACTGTTCTGAAATGCATAAGGTAAACACAGGCAGGATGTATAGGTTAAATCCCAGAGACAAACCTGGTCACTTAACCATACACTAGTCACCTCAACCCAGCCGTGTTCATTTTTCTCTTTTTTTAATATTAATTTTTTTAGTTTTAGGTTGACACAATATTTTTATTTTATATTTATGTGGTGCCGAGGATCGAACCCAGTGCCTCATGCACACTAGGCAAGCGCTCTACCACTGAGCCACAATCCCAGCCCCAATGTGTTCATTTTTCAATCTTCTGCCCATCTTTCCCTCCTGAGTCCACGTGGACACCAAACCACCACTAATTATATCATGACTACTTGTGCTACGAGAACCACTGTTAGTATTCTTTCCCCATTGATGGGTCTTGCTGTATTCCAGGTTCTCAGCACTTTCACAGATTGTCTTATTTAATTGAACAACCATTCTGCATAAAATAATTATTCACACTTTTGGATAAGGAAATGGAGATATGAAAAAAAGAGTCGCTTAGCTAAGACCTCATGGTAGTGACTGAACTGATATTTAAACACAGACATCCTCCTTCCAAAGACTTAGTTCTTAATTGCCTTGCTTAAGTCATCACATGTCTGTCAATGTATCAGTCCATCCAATCATCTAGCCACCCACCTAGCCATTCATTTGCCTGTCTTTTTGACAATCCAATTGCCTCTTACTCCATCTCTTTATCCACCTAAGTATACAGCCATCCATTGACTCCCTGTTACACAAAACACCCACCTGTCTGTCCATTCACCCACCCAACCAAACACCCAACCACGTAACATCTGTCCGTTTGATTATCCATTCATTTGCATAACCATCCAACTATGTATCTCTATCTGTGTGCCCATCCACCCTTCCACCTTCCCATCTACCCACTTATCTTCACATTACCCATTCATTAGTTTGGTAAGCCTACTACTTTACACCCACCACTGACTAACTCATCCATTAATCTACCCATTCATCCATTTACCATTCATTCATCTGTCCAACCCTCAATCCACCTGTCACTCCATTTATCCTTTTCTATTACACGTGTTTTTTCACTCATCCATCTGTCACTAATAATCCACAGATTCTCATATGCCCATCTATCACCCATCTATCAGCTCATCCATTTGATCACCCATCCATTATCTGTCCATCCACAAGTCTACCCATCAGTCCCATTGTCCATTCACCCATTCATTCACCTTCCCATCCACCATTCACCAGGTGATCTACCTATCTGACCATCCATTCATGTATCTGCTCATGCATCATTTCTTCATGTGCTCTTTCATTCACCCATTCCAATGCCCTGGGGCCCAGGAACCTCACTGTTATATCCTGGTCCCTTTGGTCCCCACTCATGTTGAAGCAGACCTGTCATAGTCTCCGTTGCACAGGGCCCGCACGGGGATGCTGAAGGGCTGCCACACAGGATTCAGCGTGTTCTTCACAACCTCCGTCTTGTGGCAGATGGTGAACCTGGAGGAAAGCAGGAGTACTAGATCCTGCCCTAGGGGTAACACTGAGTCCAGAGATGGGCCCAGCACTTTCAGAGATTCCTGAGAGTCCCACTTGTCAAGCATGTGCCCCACACCTTGCCTAAGACCTGTGAGAGCTGTGACTCACGTGCCATCTTCATTGCTCCTGTAGAACACAAGAAAGGGGTCTGATTTCCCAAAGAAGTCCTTCTTGTCCAGCTTGTTTGCACACAACTGCATGGTGGCAATGTCCTAGGGATGGATAAAGTTGGGCTGTTGAGACCCAGCCTTCAGACAGTCCGCTCAAGAGACTAACGGTAGAGAAGGGAGCTCCTGCATCTAGCATGTGGCCCCTACTGACCCGACAATTGCTAAGCTCCTCTGCAGTCAGCAGTATGGTCCCACACTTCTTGCCCGGTACACCCCTGGAAGCAGAAAAAGCCTCTTAGTGAGAGGACTGAGGGTAGATGACAAAGACTTGGGCAGCCATTCGAGGGTTAAATGGGCCAGGGGACTCCATCTGCCATTTACTGACAGTCCCCTAAATGTGTCTCCTCCTGTCCTGGATGATCTTGTGGGAGAAGACCTGACTTTGACTCAGGAAGGATCTAGCTTAACCAAGGGGGACAACTCATAAGAATAGTGTACAAAAGACATGGAAGTTAGAGTAAGTGGACTCAGGGTGGATTTTGTGACTTTCAAGCTGTGTGACCCTTGACGAGTTACTTCCCATTTCTGGTCCTTAATTTTCTCCTCTATGAAATGAGAATCACGACCACCTGTAATAGGCTATGACGATATATGAGTAAGCAAATGGAAGGAAAAGCAATTTGTAAACATTATAGACAGGAAGTGGTTGTGTTCTTTCAAGCAGAACCTGGAACCTATTGTGTCCCAGGTGCTCTGGGACAGCTCTGCTAGATTCTGCCCTCAGCTTTCAGCAGGACGTGGAATGTCATAGTAGAGGATGACCAGTTCTTAGTATAACAATTCTGAATGAGGAAGAGGACTTTCTATCTAGAACCAGGGATAAAAGTTTGGTTTATTAGGTCAAAGTGGCTTTGTTTTCTGAAGACAATGAAGAGTGAGATTTAAAAAGATGAGGGGAAACCGGATATAGTGATGTATGCCTATAATCCCAGCAATTTGGGAGGCTGAGGCAGGAGGATCACGAATTTGAGGCTAGCCTGGGCAATTTAGCAAGACGCTTTTTTTTTTTTTTTTTGGTACTGGGGATTGAACTCAGGGACACTCAACCACTGAGCCATATCCCCAACCCTTTTTTGTATTTTATTTAAAGACCACCTGTAATAGGCTATGAAGATATATGAGTATCTGGATCCTTAATTTTCTCCTCTATGAAATGAGAATCACAGCAGCTTGGGAGGCTGAGACAGGAAAATCACGAATTTAAAGCCTGCCTCAGCAAAATCGAGGCTCTAAGGTTTCAGTTGCTTAGAGTCTCGCTTTTGCTGGCTTTAAATTCATGATTTTCCTGTCTCAGCCTCACAAGCTGCTGGGATTACAGATGTGCACCACCATGCCCAGCAAGACCTTGTCTTAATATGAAAAATAAAAAGGGATAGGGACATAGCTCAGTGGTAAAACACCCCTGGATTCAATTCCCAGTACGAAAAAAGGGGGGTCACTGGGACCAGGTGCAGTAGCACCTGTAATCCCAGCAACATAGAAGGCCTCTGAGGCAGGAGAACTGCAAATTCAAGGCCAGCCTGGGCAATGTGGGGAGACATTCTGTAATTTAGCAAGCCCTGTATCAAAATAAAAAGGGTTGGAGTTATAGCTCAGTGGCAAAGTACTCCTGGGTTCAATACCCAGTACCTATCCCTCCAAAAACACATACACACACAAAGACAAGGGAAGCCTTGTCCTCTTCTGACCCCAGGAGGGACATTTCCATATGTTTACAGGGTACATACAGAAATGCATATTCCTCACTTGTCTTGGTTTCCCAAGCAGAAAGGGATCTTGTTGATATGGGCCAGTGATCCCTGACACCCAAAGTGTGGAGAAAGAAAGCTGGGTCAGGAGGTTCAAGCCCTATCTCTAACTTGCTTGTAAGATTTTCCCCATCTTTCAGATGAGAGTGTCAAGCGGTTTCTTTGACTTCATCGGCTTCTGGTTCTTCCCTCACCTTGATATACTTATTTGGCAGAATCCAGCTGACTGCCTAACCCACACTGCACCCGTGTAACTGAACATGGCCAGAGGAAAACACACCATCATGCTAGTTTTTTTTTTAATTGAACCCAAGGCATAGCACATGCTAGGCAAGTATTTTACCACTGAGCTACACCCCCTATCCCAAATGTGTGTGTTTAATACTTACTTTGTTTGTTTTGGACTAGGAATTGAACCCAGGGGCACTTTACCACTAAGCTACATGCCTAGCCCTTTTTATTTTGAGACATGGTCTCACTAAGTTGCAGAGAGCCTTGCTAAATTGCTGAGGCTGTCCTCAAGCTTGCAATCCTCCTGCCTTGGCCTCCCAAGTCTCTGGAATTACACAGTCCCTGGCCCCAGCCCAAGTTGGTCTCATTTTTAAATGTAAGATCATGCACCACAAGAAGACCCTTAAGGGCTGGGGGTTTAGCTTAGTGGCAGAGCACTTGCTGAGCTTGTACCAGGCCCTAGGTCCTATTCCCAAGCCCCCCCCCCACACACACACACAAAAAAAAAAAAAAACCCACAAAGAAGAAGGTTCTTAATGCTGCCTGATAGTCATACTACATGTCCCCAAGCCTTCTATGTGGATGGAAGTTTCTCTCTTTTTTCCTCAAACCTCTGTAGCCTCCTCTACCATCCTCACTCTTAGCTGGTGACCTTGTTTCCTACTCACTGACAAAACTGAAGCAACCAGAAGAGAAAGTCCACCCACCACCACACCTCCCCTGCCACCAGTGTCTTCACCCACACAACTGTGCCTTCCCACGGTTGCTATAAATGCACGGTGCTTATGCCTCTTTATCCCCCTGCCGTATACTTTATCCCATACCATCTTGTCTGCACAGGGACATCGCTCCAGCAAGTCTGCCCTCTTTTTATTTTATTTTATTTCGAGACAGGGTCTTGCTAAGTTACTGAGGCTGGCCTTGAGGTTGGGATCCTCCTGCCTCAGCCTCCTGAGTTGCTGGGATTACAGGCTGTGCCATTGTGCCCGGCTCTCCTTTCTTTTATTGCATCGACTTTTCAGTATCTGTTGGTTCATTCCCATCAACATAAAGTGTGATTTTTCTCATGTTAAAAAATGTCAAACCTATTCTAGACCTCACTTCCTGCTCCAGCCACCTCTTCTTTTCTCTCTTTTCAGAAAGAAAAGAAAAAGGCCTTCACTCCTAGTTCCTTCTTCCATTCTCTTCTAAACCTTTCTAATTTCCACCTCCCCTTCAAAACTAGCTTGTCAGGCTGGCATGGTTTCTCACACCATCCTGTAATACCAGTTATTCCAGAGGCTGAAGAAGGAGGATGGCAAGTTTGAGGCCAGCCTGGGAACTCAGCAAGACCCTGTCTCAAAATAAAAAAATAAAAAAGGCTTAGAATGTAGCTCAGTGGTAGAGTGCCCAGGGTTCAATCCCTGGTACTAAAACAAAACCAACCAACACCCCCCCACAAAAAAAAAAATCCCAAAATGTTCACCAGTGTCACCCGTGATCTCCATATTGCTAAATACAGCAGCCAATTCCCAATCCTCATTTTATTGACTGGTAGCAGCATTTGGCAGGGTTGGTCACTCTCCCCTCCTTTTTTTTTTTCTTCCTTGTGCAATATTGAACCCAGAGCCTCAAGCATGCTAAGTGCGTGCTCTGCCCTTGAGCAATTATACCCCCATCACCCTTCTTAAAAAAAAAAAATTACAACTCAAAAAAAAAAAAAAATTAAAGGGGCTGTGGCTGTGGCTCAGTGATAGCACACGTGCTTGGCATGTGTGAGGCACTGGGTTTGATTCTCAGCACCACATATAAATAAATGAAATAAAAGTCTATAAACAATTTTTAAAAATTACCAGTTTCATTGCAACATGGCTATTTTTGTGAGGGCGGGAAGTATGATATTTTTTTTAAAAAAAATTTATACTTGTAGATGGACAGAATGCCTTTATTTTATTTGTTTACTTTTATATGGTGCTGCTGATCAAACACAGTGCCTCACGCATGCTAGGCAAGCACTTTGCTGATGAGCTATATAGCCCCAGCCCAGGGAAGTATGATCTTAAAACAATATTCCATTTAAGGCTGTTTATACAGAAATTACTCTCATAACTGATTATCCAAAATATCTTTAGAGCTGCAAGACTCACATGGTAAACCTCAAACTTTTACACTCATTCAGTAGTGTATGCTCAGAGGAAAACAAAAAGGCATTAATAACAGCTATTTCTTGGGCTGGGGTTGTAGCTCAGTGGCAGAGTGCTTGCCTAACATCTGCGGAGGCACAGGGTTCAGTCCTTAACAACACATAAAAATAAATAAAAATAAAGGTATTGTGTCCTTCTACAACTACCGATATTTAAAAAACAAATAACAGCTATTTCTTTTAAGAAGATATTCAGGTAACAGGTACCAAGTCTTATGGCCTTAAAAGAACATCTAAGACTCACGTGACATATTTGACACCTCTCCTCCATTTCTAATAGAACTTATGAAATTTAACATGGCAGACTAAATTCCTGATTGAATCCCTCCCCCCAGCTGGTTCCTCCCCTTGCAACCATCTCAACTGGTGGCATAACCCATCTTTCCTGGTGTTCAGGTTAAAGGCCTTGGTCTCATCCTAATTCCTCTTTTCCTCTCATATCCATATTCAATCCGTCAGGAATCTGTTGGCTCCATCTTCAAATCACACCCAGAACCTGACCACCTGTCTCTTCCTCCACTGCTACCACCCTGGATTACTATGACAGCCTTCTGATTGGCTCCCTACTTTGACTTCTGTCCACCCCAAGTTCCTTCTTAACCTGGCAGTGGGGTCACCCTTTGAAAGCATGGTCAGAGCATGTTCCACTGCTCAGAATCCTCCAGTAACCTCCTCTCACAGTACAAGTCCCTGCAGTGGCTGGCAGGCCCATCAGTGACTCTCCAACCCCAGCTCCTCCTGCCACCTCCTTCCTCAGCTCTAGCTACTCTTTTCCCTGCCCTTCTTTGGTGTTTTTGGTACTGGAGATTGAACCCAAGGGCAATTTACTACTAGCCACCTTCCAAGCCCTTTTTATGTTTATTTATTTTATCTTTTAAATAATTTAACCTTTATTTATTTGCTTTTATATGGTGCTGAGGATCAAACCCAGTGCCTCATCCATGCTAGGCAAGTGCTCTATCACTGCGCTATAGCCCCAGTGGGTTGTATTTTTTATTTTGAGACAGGGTCTTGCTAAATGGTGATGTGGCTGAGGCTGGTCTTGAACTTGCAGTCCTCCTACTCCCGGACTGCTGGGATTACAGGGGTGCACCACCTCAGCCGGGTTCCCGCTGTTCTTTGAATTCTAGGCTTTTCTCTGCTGACTCCCTCACCTCCACCAAGTTGTGGCTCCAAAGTTACTAGTCTGTGAGGCCTTCTTGACCACCCTACTGAATACTGCACCTCCCATCTACCCCACATTGCCATTCCCCCTTACTCCACTCTACTCTGCCTCCCCTCATATGTAATTTACTTACTCATGTCTATTTTGTACTGTTTCCTATGCCTTACCCCCAACTAGAGCATAATGTTCCTGTTTTTTGTTCATCATTGCAACTCTGGCCCCTTGAACAGTGGCTGACAGAGTACGTGCCCAGTAGAACTGGTGGAATGGGGGATCCCTGGAGCCTGGAATAGTGTGGTATTCAAAACAGGCTAATAACATCATGAATGTAATGGAGATGCTGAGGATTTTATTTAGTCAGAGGAAACTTCCCAGTGCAGAGAGACTTGGAAGTGAATCTTAAAACTTGAATCAAGACCTGGGCATGGAGATGCTCGCCTGTAATCCTCCTAGCTCAGAAGGCTGAGACAGGAGGATCACAAGTTCAAAGCCAGCATCAGCAACTTAGCAAAGGCCCTAAGCACTGAGACCCTGTCAGTAAGTGAAATATAAAAAATGCTGGGGATGTGGCACAGTGGTTAAGCACCCTGGATTCAATCCCCCAGTACCAAAAACAAACAAACAAAAAAACATTAAAAAAAAAAGTTGAGGGGCTGGGATTGTGGCTCAGGGGTAGAGTGCTCGCCTAGCACGGGCGGGGCCTGTGTTCGATCCTCAGCACCACATAAAAATAAAGGTATTGTGTTGTGTCCATCTACACCCAAATATATATATATAAAGTTGAATCAGGTTTAGAAAAAGAGTGACAGTGACAGAGGATGTCAGGCTTGAGACTGATGCAGGCACAGCTCTAGAGATGAGGCTTTCTCAGGGGCCTGATAGGAGCTGGTGAAAGCTCCCGTTAGGGGCAATCCCAGTCTCCACTGATTATCAATTAGCAGTGTCCTGGGGAGGGAAATTTGATGGTGCCCGGTCCTCCCCTGCATCCCTTCCCATTCAGCTCACGTGAGGGGTCGCTCTACGCGGCTGCCCTGGCCTCCGATCACTTCTCCTAGAGCCAGGAACGCTTGTCCCAGGAAATCCTGTGCCAAGACACCAGAGTCAGCAAGAAGGGGAAGGGGCCCAGCCCAGTCCTGGGGATGCAGCTGCACTTGACCAGGGTAGTTCTGAGGCGGTGAAGGCCACCGCCCTGCGTGTGCTTCAATGGACCGTGGAGGGAAGAGGTCTGCAGACCAGGTGTGCTTCTTGGTCAGTAACGGGTCCCAGCCCGTTCTCCACAATACCATCCCATCCCCTTGTCCTGCTCTCTCCAGCCTCACCTTCTGCAGGTCCCAGCGCGGCCGAGAAGGAAGAGAAGCAGTGAGTAAGGGGTGTGAGCAGGAAACCCAGGCAGGAGCAGGAGAGTGCAGGAAGAGTAGATTAGGGGCCTCAAGAGGGTAGGTAGGTCGAGGGGTAGGAGAAGTTGAATACATCTGAGTGCCTTTTTGCGCCCTGCCAGCCCACGAGGGGACGCTCGCTTACCGGTTTGGAGATGTTGGTTTTGGAATCGACGTTGTACCTGGGGGGAAAAGCGGAACTGGCGTGGGGTGGGCTGGGAGGGAGAGAGGCCAGAAAGGGATCTTGTTGGCTAATATTGGGTGGAGGGAGGGGAAGCCTGGGATCGAATTCAACTTGGATCTTGGTGGGGGGGGGGGGTGCGCTGCTGGGAGCGGAGTCATATGGTAGGGGGCCACCGCCGAGGTGGAGCTAAATTACTGGTTGGGATAGTGGGCAGGGCCGAGTTTGTAGAGTGAGTGAGACTGGATCAGGCCTGGGGGCGAGCTAAGATTAGAGTGGAGCAGTTCAAAGTGGGACCCAGCGCGGCCTGGGGGAGGAGCCAGGCCCGGAGGCGAGGCGGGGGAGGGACCAGCCAGAATTGCAGGCGGATCCAGGTCGGGAGGCGGGTCAAGCCAGAATTCTGGGCGGGGCCTCACACATCGAAGCGCAGATTTTGCTTTTCTTCAAAGAAATAGTCGAGGACGAATTTGCGCACGAAGTCTGGATTCAGTGTGTTGTCAATCACCTCGGTCCGTCCGAACTGGGCGGGGGTACAGAGGATCAGCGCGGGCTGCGCCGGGGGACAGGAGAGGCTCTGGGCTGAAAGGGGGCTGTTGGACTCACCTCCCGCCACTCCTGGCTGGCCCGAGTCTGGGTGTAAAGCACCACCACTGCGGGTGGGGGCGGAAGATGGAAGGACATCAGGTCGGCCCGCACCCCTCCCACCCCTCCCACCCCTCCGCTGCCCCCATCTGCCCCCTGGGTCACGCCCGGATCCCAAGTTTCCCCTCACGGTCCTGGAGCCTTACTGGGGTCGGACTTGGAGAAGGTGTCGAGGTCTAGCAGATTCCTACAGAAAAGCGACAGACAGACCGACACAGGGTGAATCATTCTGAAGCCCACCGCCTGGACACTGCCCCGAGTCGGGCATCCGGAGGAGGCATGGGGCTCCAGTCGCACCCACCACCTCCGTTACTACCCCTCAGTGTGTTGCGGGGATGGGGGTGGGGTGGGGGTCGTCAGCGCTGTCAGCACTCTGGACAGCACCAGAAACCTCTGCCCAGGAACCAAACCTCTGCGAACTAGACGCATACGTACCCACATTGTCTCCAGGAACCCAGAAAAGGGGATTCACCCCAAAACTTTGTCCTCCTGGGGCCCAGCTCCTATCGGATCCCAACGACCCACCCGTTGAGCCAGTCAGTAGACTGAGCCCTCTTGTGGGTTTGGGTTGCCCAAGGAGAGCCCTCCTCGATCCTGCTAGCGACTCCCATCTTCAGCCGTGATCCTATAGTCCCCTTGCCTTTCCCCCCAGAGTCTAGCCTCTATTTGCGCTGAGACCCGCAGCAGCTTGGGGCTGGGGCAGTGCCAGTGCCTAAGCCTCCCCAGCGCGGGCCGCTCACCGGCAGGACACGGTAATTTCAATCTTGGTGGCTGGGACGCTGCGCTCGGTGGCTCCTCCGAGAGACATGGCCGGTCTTGTGGCCGGAGCCGCGGGAGGCTGTAAGACCCCAGCCGCCGGGGCTAGGGGCGGCGGCGGCAGCGGCGAGGCCGGCCCATGTGCCGCCGCAGCGCCGGCGAAGGCGGCGACTGTACTCCTTCCAGCACTGCGTGCGCTCCCGCCGCTTGCTCCCTGACAGTGGCCGCCGGCAGCAGTGGCTCCAGATGGCAGCACAGCCCCGCCCGGCCCTGCGGGCGGCCCCCGCCCCATTGGAGCAGACGGGAGCTGGCCGGGAAAATTACCTAGACCCCACTTGCAATCTACACCTTAGGAGATTTGCCTCTCCAGGACGCTGAAACCCAAGCCCCCGGAACTGTCCGTGGTTCTGAACCATTTGGGGTAACTGGTGGGTGTTGGGGTCTTCGTCTCTTCCTGAGTTTCTCCCTCAACAAACTGTCCCTCTCCCTATTCCTGGCTTAACTAGGTCTCTGAATATGAAAAGTTACATTTTTCTTGTTAGCTGTGTGACCTTGGGCATGTTGCTCAACATCTCTATGGCATGGTCTCATTGATGGAAAGGTCATAATAGCAGTTACTTGGGGGACTGTAAAATTTTATCTAGATAACCCAAGGGAAGGATTTGGCACAGAGAAAGTGCTCAATAAATGTTCACTGGGGGGCTGGGTTGTAGCTCAGTGGTGGAGTGCTTGCCTGGCACATGTGAAGCACTGGGTTCGATTCTCAGCAGCACATAAAAATAAATAAAATAAAGGTTTAAATAAATAAATAAATGTGCACTGGTATTATTTGACATTTGAATACTCACACTGATGACCTCTTTCGTGTTAGGAGTCAGATCAGAGGGCTGGGGTGAAGTTCAGATGTGGCACGCTTGCCAAGCATGTGCCAGGCCATGGATTCCATCCCAGCACCACCAAAAAAAATAAAAATAAAAAGGAGAGAGATCAGGAAATGGTGACTTTTAAAAGACTGTACGAACCCTCTGCGCATGCCTTTGAATCCTCTTGATACTGTCATGATGCAGTCTACTCCAGCCCACATATAAAGGAGGGTAGTGGTCACTCAGGCCCTCCCTCTCTGGACATGTACACCAAGTGCTGCTTCCAGAACCGCAGAAGCCAGACCCTCCATCATGGGCAGCTCCTTGGGGCAGGGGCTGTACCAGGCCACGCTGCCTCAGACCTTCTGAAAGATGAAGACCTCCAACCCCAGCAACCCTACAGCTAAACCTCAGCAACACTGGAGTCTGTGCAGACAAACTGGCTCCCCAAGGACCCAGGGTCCACTCAAGCCTGTGAACCACTTCTCCCACTTCAGCTGGGGAGTGCAGGCTCAAGAGTTAGGGGCACAAGAAAGGAGTGAGTGCTCCTTTCTAGGTGGGCCTGGGGGACTCTCTCCCACTCCTGAGTCCATAAAAGGGGAAGCTGTAGGAGAAAGTCAGTGTCGAGGCTGCACCCAGCAAAGGTCACTGGTTTGTCTGCTCTGAAATGGGCACCTCACATGGCATCCATCATCCTGGCAGTTTTAGTCAGCTTTTTCATCCCTGTGACCAAAAGACCCAACAAGAACAATTAGAAAAGGAAGTTTATTTTGTACTCACAGTTTCAGAGAATTCAGTCCATGCCCAGGTTCCAACATTGTCTCACACATGAGCTTTTGGGAGACACCTCATATCCAAACCATAAAACTGGTGTCAAGTTGAGCCAATGTTTACATGACAATGCTCTGATAAGACCTGGAGACTAGGCTGAAATGTCTCCATTGATCTTCTACTAGGAAAGGAGAGCCACCAGGGAGTGGCACCTGAAGAGCCTAAGCTTACTCAGGCCAATTGCTTTTACTCCTAGATGCTGGAGGAGTTGATACCAGGAGTCAGAGGCACCAACATCTGTAAAGAAGTCATGTTCATGCTGCACAAGAGAGGAGTCTGTCCATCCACACATTTGACTTCAAGTAGCCATGGAGGGCATCCTTGTTGGGACTACCAAAAAGCACAAGATTCTCTCCAAAGAGCAGGTGGTCACTGTTCATGAGTCGGCATCCTTGGCTGGCTGGCTGCTGGAGCACACGGAGGCTGTGGTGAACGCAGGTTGCAGGCCCCAGCACCACAGGACTGGGAAACACCAGCTTGGGAAACACCTCATGTGTTTGCTTCATGAAGGAAGAGCCTGCAACAGCCATGATCCAGGCTCCACACAACAGCAGAAGCTAGGATGCCCAAGGCAAGAGTGAGTTGCCTTACATCTAAGCTGAGGCTTACGTGTGACTTAGAAAGTCACAACATGGCTTGGGACCACTATCCTCATCCACCCTTACAGTGAAGGGCTTCGTTCACTGTGGGGTCTAAAGTGACTGACATGGGTGCGAGCTGAGTGCACATGTTGGAAACCTCTTGTGGAAAGTCATGAACTTGATGAGAACTTATTGCAATTACCGGGGATGGAACCCAGAGGTGTTTTAACACTGTGCCACAGCCCCATCCTTTTTATTTTTTGCAACAGGGTCTAAGTTGTTTAGGGACTTCTGGCTTTGAACTGGTGATCCTCCTGCCTCAGCCTCCTGAGCTGCTAGACATGTGCCATCACACTGTGCCAACCGGTGGTATTATAAGGAGCTTCCAGAAAGTGAGTGGATCATGAATGTAGATTGTTGTTGAGTGACCAATAAGGAAGCTGTGACTATTGGGAAGTGAGTGCCCATTCTCAGTTGAGGGCATGGCTTCCAATTGTACCCTCCAGGAGGACTGGTGTGGCACTGAAACAAGTGGCAGGAGCCTGTGCAGGTGCACCTTGAAAGGGTAGCTACTCTGTGCTCCACCCTCATTTCACACTGCAGAAAAGTAAACTCTGCAGTCAAGGGCCAGCTGCCCCACCAGGGGGTTAGTCTCTCTGCCTTTTTTAAAAAATATTTTTTTTAGTTGTTAATAGACCTTTATTTATTCGTTCATTTATATGCAATGCTCAGAATTGAACCCAATGTGTTACACATGTGAGGCAAGCGCTCTACCACTGAGGCATGACCCCAGCCCTCTCTTGCTGCTTTTATAGTTCACGTTACAAAGCAGATTGTTAGTTGCTCATGTCTGAGCAGCAAGACAGACCTTTTATATGCTCGTAAGAGTGCTATAAGGACAATCCTGTGGGACTTGGTCCTGCATGATGTATGCAGTGGTGTTTGGTGTATTCAGCAGTCACTCAGAAGAGAGGCCAGGCCCAGCATGGGGCGAGCAGGACAATAATGAAATCAGCAATGAACATAAATATTTAAGAAATTGTAATTAAGATGGGCATGATGGCACATGCCTGTAATCCCAGCTACTTGGGAGGCTAAGGCAGGAGGATCTCAAGTTCAAGGCCAGCCTCAGCTGAGACCCTGTCTGAGACCTCAGCTGTCCTTAGTGAGACCCTGTCTCAAAATTTAAAAAAATGGCTGGCTGTGATACTCAGTGATAAAGCACCCCTGGGTTCAATCCCCAGTATTGCCAAAATGTAAAAATAATAATTAATGTAAAAAATCCATGACAAACCTATGTTAGAATTTTAAATTTCATTTTGTTCTCAGAATTCTCACTTTATTTGATGGCTAGAAGTGAGGGAAGACTAGTCACTTGCTGATCTTGTTGTCAGCACTGTAACAGGCATAGCCTGTTATCATAGCCATTAAACTGTCATTTAACTTGGTTAAAAAAGAAGATTTAAGGGTACATCCAAGTTTTTAGTTCCCCTCTTTCTTCACCTGCCCCCCCCCCTCCATCCTACACGAGGTGTTTCTCTACACTGAGAACATTCCCAACAACTCTACAAAGAGAGCAACCAGAAGAGGATGAAAGACAAGGGCTGTTCAAAGACTCTTGATTTTATTTTGTGATCTGTGTCAAACAGCCTCATTCTCAGTGCAGGTGGCCCCTCCTCCCCAGGGGACAACTTGGGGTGGGATCCCCTATGAAGTCATGGCCTCCACAGGTCCCAGGGAGACCCACGCAGTTCCGAGAGTTGATGGGAATCCTGGCCAAGACCTGGTGGGTGGGAGGCAGTGACTAGATGGGGTGGTGGTCATGTCAGGTAGCTGAGAGCTGGAAAACCCTTTTCTTGGCCCTGCTCAGTTTTTGGACTGCTGTGCATGTGATGGAGAGGGGGTGTGAGATTTTCCCCCAACCTCACAGGACCCCTTGGCCAGGCATGGCTTTGATTCCACTAAGGGCTCAGCTGAGAGAGGAGCAGGAAACGTGTGGGCTGGCTGCTTCACAGGGTGTTGGTGCTGGTGCCCCGCAGTCCCACACCACGGGCAAACTGTTCCAGCAGGCCCCCAATGGCCCCAGAGGGACTGGGGGCTGCTGCCCGAAGCCCCACTGTGCTGCTGTATGCGGCCAAGAAGGCTGAACGCACCTCCTGCAGCCGCGTCTCCCGGGCACTCAGAGCTGCAAGCCTATGGGGAAGGAGGGACAGAAAATGAACGTATTACCCCAGGACAGGATCCAACATCCTCATCCTCTCTCCATATGGCCTATCCTTGAACTTCCGACTGTACAGAGCCAGGATCTACCCCATGGTCGTGTTACCCTTGTGGTTCAGGCTCCAAATATCTGGTGCTAGTTCCTTTAGCCATTCTTCTCACTTTGAGGTTCTCTTCTCACCTTAGAGCAGATCTTTTATTGGAGCACTGACCTGGGCTTTGTGCTGGAAAAATAACTGTCCCTGTGTTGACTGTGATCAGAAAGAAGCTGAGTTTCACAACTCTTGGCTTCTTATTCCTTGGTAAGAACAGGTGAGACACAGCCTTACACCTGGCAGGAAGGAGATCCCCAGGATCTGAGAGCAGGCCTCGGCCCTCCTGAGGCAAGGACCTGACACACCCTGGGAAAACTTGCTGGCTGCCCTGGCTGGGACAGGGTCTCCCACTAGAAACGCCTAGACCCTAGCTATATCTTTAGTTCCTGCGGCCCCTCACACACTGCTGGAAGAACACCGACTTTTCCAGCACTCTGCTCTGATTCCATCTCTTTCTTCTCCCCTGGCCACGTGGGGCACAGATCACAGACGAAAGATAGAAAGCCCTTCTCTCCTTGCCCTGGGATTACAGGTCAAGAAGGGACACAGTACACAGAAATGGGGGTTTATCAAAGTGTGAGTTCCTCGGAGGCTGTCTGACATTCTGAAGGGTCAGTCTTTAATAGAAGGGGTCCAAGATATCAACCATACCCAATCTCTGGACTCAAAGCCAGGCACCTGAGTTTGTTCTCCAGGAGTTACACACCTACATGACAT